CCCAAATCCTAGATGAGAAAAGTAAAGGGTTTTATTAGGTAGTCGACAACCAGCATAGAACTTGTAGAATAATTATGACATGAATAATTTAATATAAGCTAATATTATAAGAAAAAAAAGTTAGTGATATTAAGAATATTGCAGGATGTGCTTAGAGTATCAAAGGAAAAACCCCTAATAATAAAAATAGTTGATGGAGGAATCAAATTGTGCAAAAAAATATAAAAAAAAAGAAGCTTAGTTATATAAATTGATTTGAATGTAAAAGCTTAAGAATTTGAGAAAGATATAAAGATGCCCATAAAAATTTTAATAAAGCAATATGTGATATAAAGAATTTAGCTTTTAATGATTTATATAATAAATCAGATACTAAGGAGGTTGAAAGGTATATGTATAATTTAGCCAAACAAAGAGCTAGGAAAAGTAAAGATTTAATTCATGTCTGAAGACCATTAAGGATGAAGATCAAAAAGTGCATTTATTAGAAGAAGATAATCAACAAAGGTGGATGAGATATTTCGATAAGTTTTTCAATGAAGATTGTGAGAAAACAATTGACTTTAGTGACCTTAGCATCCAAAATAAAAATAGAAACTTTTATTTTTATCGTCGTATGGGTAAAACTAAAGTTAGAGAGGCCTTAAAGAAAATTGTGTGAAAAAGCGGTTGGACCTGATTATATTCCAATAGAGGTGTGTAAATACTTAGGAGATGAAGGAATTTATTGGCTCACAAAGTTTTTCAATATAATTTTGATGACTAAAAAGTAAAAAGATGGTAGATGAGTGGAGAGGAAGTGTGTTAATTCTTATTTTTAAAAATAAAGGTGATGCACAAGAATGCGAGAATTATAGAAGAGCTAAGTTAATATGTTATACTTTAAAACTATGGGAAAGAGTTATTAAACATCGGTTACAATGTGATACTAAGGTTTCTCAAAATCAATTTGGATTCATGTAAGGTAGGTCTACTATGGAAGTTATACATTTATTGAGGGGTTTGATAGAGAAGTACATAGAGAAAAAAGAGTATCTACATATGATATTTATTGATTTAGAGAAAGCATATGATAAAGTTTCAAGAGAAGTGTTATGGAGAGTCCTAGAAAAGAAAGGAGCAAATTAGCTTATATTCAAGTCATTAAAGATATGTACATATGAATTGTCACTTGTGTTCAAACACAAGGTGGTTTGACCAAGTATTTTCCAATTTCAATTGGATTACAGCAAGGATCATATGTTGCTTTAGTCATGGATGTTCTTTCTAGACATTTACAAGATGTCTCTTGTTGTATGCTTTTTATTGATCATATTCTTGCTGATAAAACTAAAGATGGAGTTGAAAGAAAACTTGAATTATGGAGGTCAACCTTAGAGTGTAAAGGTCTTCATTTGAGTAGATCTAAAATCGAATACATGGAGTGTAATTTTAGTAGTCATAGTTCTAATGAGGGGATTTTGACTTTGGGCGATCAAGTCATTAATAGGAGTACACATTTTAGATATCATGAATCTATTGTTCAAGGTGATGGTCAAATAGATGGAGATATTATTAGTAGAATTCAAGTTGGAAGGCTGAAGTGGAGGAATGCATCGGACTTGTCGTGTGATAGAAAAGTACCCCTCAAACTTGAAGGAAATTTCTATAATATAATGGTGAGACTTGCAATGTTTTATGCTGCAAAATGTTGTTCATTAAAATAGAAGCATAAAGTTAAGTGTTACAGAGATGAGAATGCTCAAGTGGATGAGTGGCTTCAATCTTAGAGACAAAATGCGAAACGAGTATATTTATGAAAGGGTTGGAGTAGCTCCCGTGGAAGTTAAGATTAGAAAGAGTCACCTTAGATGGTTTGGACACATAAAAGTTACGCGGTTATGAGAGTAGATATATTTGATTTGGTCTATGTTAAGAAAGGTAGATGTAGGCCTCTAAAAACTTGGCTAGAAAATATTAAATATGATATTTTTTATTAAATTTAAATGAAAATTTGACTCTTAACATAATATAATGGAGAAAAATGATTCATGTAGCCGACTCAACATAGTGGGATAAAGGAGCGTGATATTGTTGTTGTTGTTTTTGTAGACCTGACTCATTAGGCTTGATTCAAGCTAAATATCCCTGCAGCCTTTGCACCGCCTGCACTCACTGCATTGTTGTCATCCTCTCCTTTTGTTCTCAGAACTCGAAAACCCGAACTTGCTCACATCACCCATCCATCTCTCTTCCTCGTTCACTTTTTCATATTCGCCAAAAAAAAACCCACATCCATTGCTCCAATAGCATTTCCAAACCACATCCTTGAAAACAACCCATAAATTCAGATGAAAAAAAAAATTAGGATATCAATTATTACCTCAATTAAGTTGGATTCATATTAATGAGTCTGAAGAACTTTAAACTTCCAAATTCTTTCCTTTCCAAAATTTTGATAATGTTCTTGAGGATTTGCAAAAGATCCTTCAACTAATATTTATTAATGCAATGGTGTTCTTTCACTTCCTCTCTTTCCTCTTAGGATGGATGCTCCATTCATCCTCTTCCTTGAGATGGATTTCTCATTCACCTCTCTTCATAAAAATGGACTTTGCTAACCCAATACCGTAATAAATGGCCTCCAATTCTTCCTCCAATTATATTGCACTCTCCAAAGTAGAGATCTTTGAAGCCAAAGATAATTCATGCAATGTAGATCAACCCAAGTAGTTAATTTGTAGCCCTTATTTGCCTTTCTAAGTTAACTATCAATGGTTTAAATATTAGTTTTTTATTTAGAACTACTTTGACATGTTTTTTATTTGTTTAGGTGTAGGTTTGTCAACTTCAAACAAGGTATATTTTAATAAATAAGGCTTGGAGTCTTGTAATTCGGTCAATTTTGAGAGTTCATGATGGTATTAAGAAGATTTCATTCTCCCTTGTAAGGTTCTTGTGTCTTCCTCTCTACCTCATGTCTTCTTCTGTTTAAGGCAATCATTTCTAATCACGTTATCCTTTTATTCTCTTAATCTGTAACTTCTCCTGCTACACGAGAATCTTTATATAGCCTCGTTCGCTGTCAAATCCATTCCAAATGCCACCACAAATATCTAAGTGCCATCATTGAAAAATCCTAGGAGGTATCATCATAATGACCCATGTTTAATTAGAATGGAGTACATACATCATCTACGCAAAAAGATCAAGAGAAAAAAGGTGCAATGAGAGTTCAAATTACACCCAGAATGTTGTACAACCATCATTTTAAATTTTAAAAAAATTTCTGATTATATACTTCCTTCAAGCATGCCAAGGCAATATGATGACTATGCCAATATTTAAAATTGCACAATCGGGTATTGAAGTGTTTTTCGTTTGTGAGGTGAAGCGTAAGCCTCAAGGAGTTTTGAGTGAGCCTCAAAATAAATAAATAAAATTGTGTGAAGTGAATATAAAGGTTAAAAGTTATTTTTTATATAATACCTAATTAATATATTAAAGAATTAAAGAATGACATATTAACTTTCTATTGAAATATAAAGTAATAAATTTGTATATATGTAACAAAAAATTTCACAAGACATGAAGTGACAAGTAATAAATTCTGTAAAATAGAATTGAAATCCAAATATTATAAGAGCAAAACAATATAAAATTTAGGAATTGTATAAAAGTATCATATAACGTCAAGTTCAACTTTAAATATCTCTTTAATTGTATAAAAGTATCCACAATTACTTCCAAAAAAAAACTGAAATAATTGGCAACAACTTAGAAATCAACTGTCATTGACATCACTGAGGGGGTCTTTATTTGAGTCATCATCATAATAAATTGGTCTCTCCCCTGACTCATCCTTTGGAGTCCTATGTCTTATATATATATATATATATATATATATATATATATATATATATATATAAGGTGAGGCGTACGCATCATACAGAGAGGTGAGGCATATGCATCATACAGAGGGGCGAGGCGCGTCTCAGTCAAACAAAGGTGCACGACTCATTAAAAAAGCATGACGCGTAAGCCCCGAGGAGTTTTTCATCGGAATTGAGCTAAGGCGAGCCTCATATTGTACAATTTAAATAATGGACTATGCTAAGAGAAGGCTTGTACATAGGGGCCTTCAAAAAGCATAAAAACACACCACATGACAAACATTTGCACTATCCGTTCCTCCCTATTTTAAGGAGAATAGTTAAAGCTCCAAAACAACGAAATGCTCTTTTTAGTGCAAATATGAAATATCTAAACGGTCCTAGTGGTGCTAATTTGAATTATTACATCCACAAAAGGTTAATAATGATAGTAACCATTTTAACTTAAATAGCAAATTGCACTAATCGTACAGCTATGGTTTAGCATTAATTACAATAAGGAGTTTTTACAGCAATGGGATAGAAGCTTTCCTAGGTGCCTTTATATTTTGAAATCTTTGAATGAAGGGAGTCAAGACTTCAATCAAAATTTACAAATGAACAAGTGAATTCGGAAAAAATAATTAGTCATGCACTGGCAAACAACATTCATTCAGTTAAGTGGAGGAAAATCTCAGAAGGCATGCATGTTGATTGTGCAAATACTATTTTGATTTCATTTTTGTGAACAAAATAATCGTCTTGGCTATTAAAAAAATTTAACGGCAAAAACAGTACAGCTAAATCGAAAATAAGCAGGGACTTAAAAAGTAGCTTTGCAGCAATGTTGCAACAGATGCTGAAATAATTCATGCAAAAAAAAGTTGGCAATTGATGAATTTGTAGATTTGTGCGTACTTGACATGCAAGCACCACACAATTAATTCTAAAAAAATAAGGCAATGAGCTGAATATACCCCAAAATAATACCTGTAAAGGGCTAAAACATAAATGATTAAAATTTCCAATTATTCAATACGAATAATAACCAAGGGTGATTGATAATTGTAACAAGTGACATAGTTAATGGGAGATAATAAGTAAACAAAAAGAGCCAAAACCTATCATATGTTGAAAAAAGAGAATCACCTGAGTCACATAATTTCCATACTGATCCTGAGCTAGAATACAAGCAGATTGTAAAATCTCATCCACAATGCAAGAACTTTGCAATTCATCAGAACAATGCTCCAAAACTCTCTGCATTTATTCAAGAAAAATCACCTATTGTTTGATGAGCACCCAAAATTGATGGAAACTGAGGATCAACAGTAGAATGTTGATATTACCTGAATAACTCGGCATCCATAGGGATGCATAGAGAGTGTAGCAACATGTCCCCGGAAAGCAGAAATGATGAAACCAATTCTCTCAGTTGGCACACGTTCAATGCACTTCTGAATTACATGATTTCCATTTTGATCACGAACACATCGCAAAACATGCCCATCCAGCTCAAATACAAGCTGTGTTTTTTGATCTAGTTCAATCACTTCAAGTGCCTGCAGGTTGGATAAGAATATAAACAGATAGCAATAAAGTCATTTGTTAAATGAGATTTGAGGCTTTGAATGAAAAGGAAAGAAAATTGGTTCATACTTCATACAGTAATTAGAAGAATAAACAGATATTATTTGTTAGAATAAAACAAAGTTGAAATGAAAAATCCAATAACATCAGGGAAGGTAATACTAGAAGTTATTGTCCGTTGAAAAGATTGACCATATTGATAAAATTGTTGAGGTGAGTAATGTTGGTGATAAGATGATTGCCATTAAATCAATTATAGCAAGAACATTATAAATACAATTAGTACTTATGCCCGTTAAGACTGATCAAAAAGTTTGAAAAATATATTTTCGCAAGAGATGGGTGAACTACTATGAAGAAGAGAGGATAATTATTATTGGTGACTTAAGCAAACATACAAATTCTACTAGGATGTGATACAAAATAATTTATCAGAAGTATGGATTAGGAGACAACAGTATCATGGGAGAAACTATACTTGATTACCTAGTAGCATATGATCTTACAATAATAAGTACAAACTTCAAAAAAATGATAAGCCTATTTGATTACTTTCAAAACTAGAGCCACAAGATCAGAACATTTCTTTTATTTAAAAAAATAAAGATCTTTCTGCAAAGATTGCAAGGTAATTTGAAGAGAAAGTTTGACCATACACCATAGAATTATAAATGTATTTCTTATGAGTATAAGGAAAAAAATAAAAAAAATAATTCTTTTGGGCCAAGATGATAGAACTTTAAAAGTGAGAGCTTGTCATCCTTTCAACTACTATTAAAAAGATGCTTGACATCCCACCAAGAGTAAATATTGTCCATTCATTCAATTTTGATTTATACAATGTATACTACTATTAATAAGACATTTTACACTAACCCAACAGTAGGTCGTGGCTATTCATTTGGTTTTGATCTATAATTCAATTAAAATGAAGTAGATGTTCCATTAAATTAAAATCTTCCAAGAAAAAGCACAGTATGCATATATATGCCAAAAGCTACATAAGTTTTAAATTATAGGCATGTTAGTTGCAACAGTAACAACTTTTTGATAAATTGCTAATGATAAAGTACTTCAACTTTAATCACTTGGATTGTTTTGACCATTAACGGCATTGATTTACAAATTCAATTCTAAATATATTTGAAATTTTAAAAAATATTTACATTTTCAAAACAAAAAAATCTCAATAATGAATAATTTATAGTCATGTAATATTTATAAATAAATATGCATCATATATATGTTCTGATTCTTTTAGTTTAATTTCTTAATCATAAACATTAAATTTATAATTTTACAAATTTCAGTAATAAATCATAGAGACGAATGACTTTAAATTGAATGTTTTATTATTTGATGAAGTGCATATATATATATATATATATATATATAGCTCATCATTCCATATTAGCAATATATAATATCCTCTTTAATCACATACTAATTACATAATTAAAGTTAATAATTTTATTTATGTCATAATTATGAGGTGTTAAACATGATTAAGTAATGCATTAAAAATTTAGTTAACCAAATCTTGCCAAATTTTAGGTGGATATCTTAATTGGTAGGTCCAATAGGATTCAGCTTGATTAAATTTGAGACAATCTTTCATAATTTCTAAAGTATATATTATTAAAAAGGTGCGTATATATTATTATTATTAAAAAGGTGCGTAAAACTCTACCCATGATCATTCATCCATTTTTTATCTATACTACTACTAAAATGATGCTTTATATGCCACTAAAATAAAATCAATGATAAATGTTCTTTCAAACTATTTTTATTGTTCAAAATATTTCTATAATATAAATTAGTCATTATAAAATTTTGATTATATTTTTTGTCAATTATTAAAACTTTAGAATAAATAAAACAAGTGCATTGGAATAAAATTTATCATTTAAATTTATTATCTTTATTTATAAAATATTAGTAATGGTTAGTAATGGAAACTATAGGAGTGAATATAACTGTCAAAGAAATGCTAATATAAGCATTGAACACAAAAATAGAAAAATAATACTTTCTTTAGTGTGGCTAAACTAAGATGGACAGACATCAATGCTTCAAAAAGCATGCATGACTTCATCTAACAATTCACCACATGATGATAATTTCAAATTTGAAGTATTAATAACTAATTGAAATAGCAATAAAATTAATTAATTCAGAAAAAATGTTCTATTATCAAAATCTACTATGATTTGTGAAGAAGTAGAAGAATATAATACTTCATGCTTACAGTTACATATACCTCAAGAGACTGACAATTGATTAAGATCTGTAAAACAAAGATCAAGCATATTAACAACAATTTTAACGAGTGTGATATTAAAAATTATCAATCAATGCTAGTAGAAGATAAAATGATACTTAGAAGTAAAAATTTTAAATACCTTGGACATATCATGCAAAATGAATGGAGATAAAGATAAAGATTTAATACCTAGAGATATAGATGGATCACAAAAATGGAGAAATGTCCAATTAAGCTAGGCATGAGAATGTTGATTTTAATCTATAACAAAATTAAGAATAATAGATTGAAGATTGATTATATTAGAGGGGAGGAAGGAGTAGTATCTACTAAAAATACAATAGTAAAAAATAGACTTAATTAGCTTGGATATATAACATGAAGGGCGTAGAATGCACTCATAAGACAAGTAGATGAAATTAGTGTTGAGGATTAGGAGGGAACAAAAGCAAACATAGGTATCATTTATAGACGTTGTGCAAAAATAAATTCTGTTAAATATCTTTAATACAATTGCAACAAGCAACAAGAGTAAATAAAAATGAGAAATTACAAAACCAGCCCAAAATATTGGGACAATGCAAATGATGATGATGATGAGCCCTCAAGTCAGTTATGAAATGAGAAAAAATTGCAATTTCCTTAAGTATTCCTCAAGGAACATTGACATTATTATTGATTTCAACGTCATGATATAAAAATTGAGTGATATAGAATTTCCATGACAGTGAACTATCATTTTTGATATAAAACTTGAGTGATATAGAATTTCCATGATAGTGAACTATCATTTGCAATCAGAAAAACTTAAACACGTATATACTTATAAATTGGTGATGGATGGTGAAAGATGCATATGAATTAGTGGGTCTGTCCTTCGAGATATATAATATGCTAACTATAACACACACACACACACACACACATATATATATATATATATATATATATATGATGCAAGATTAAAATCTACTCCTTGCCATCTCATATTATTGCTAAAAATAAAGCATCAAACACTCGACACACTTTAGAATGAGGATAAAGTTTTTGAATGGATGTCGAGAAGAAAATTTTTGAACGACCAAAATAAAATGTGAAAAATATAACTCGACACAGATTCAAATTAAGTGAAACGAAATATGCAAAACACACTATTAAGGAATAAAAAACCATAAAAATTAGCAAATCTAAGGTATAAAACATCCAATAAAAGACCACACAGCCTAATGCAACAGAAATAAGAAATACCTTTTGAATCACTCGGCAACCATACATTTGAAGGCTCAATGGCAAGACATGCCCGACAAGCTGATTTGCAAGTTCCTTCCTCTCCTCAGGACTTCCATGCTCAAAAAACTGTGGACAGACATAATTCGCAAACAGATCATGTTGATCAACATAACAGAAACTCTAAAAGATATGCATAAGATTATAAGAAAAAAGTGAAATTTGTGAAAGAATGAACATAAGGATGAATGAGCATACAATTAATTTTTAAGGAAATATAAATTCACAAGGCTCATATCAAGACTAAAGCACCTTCTGGATAACATAATTCCCAAATACATCGGTCATTAATGTTGAAGCATGTGGAAGAACTTCTTGAAAAACAGATGCCTTCTCTTCAGCACTACAGCTTTCCAACTTCTGCTGAATAAATCGGCTTCCATGTTGGTCAGCACTGATGTCAAAAAAGAGGAATTGTTATTTAACATTAGAACCATGATAGAGTTGTTGTTTAGCATGTGAACCTTGGCATAATCATGAACCCTCATAATCATGCAGCCTGATGTGAACAAAAAAATAAGCTAAAAATTACCTGAACTCAACAATGCGTCCAGCAATGTCAGATAACTCATATCTACGGGACTTGGTGGATTTCAACTCTTCAAGAAATGAGTGCAATTTTGAATCATCAATTTTATCATGCAATCTTGGGCTTTGCCATCCAGGATATGCCCCTCCACCCCTAACTGAGCTACCAGATGACCTATTGCTCTCACTTATTCTGCCAGAAGTTACTGAATTAGCCACAGGTGATCCTGGATAAACAGGACTGGTAAGGGGAGAAGTTGGATATTGCATGAAAAGGCCAAGGTTGGTGGGATTCCCATAAAAGTTTGAATTAGTAGTTCCACCCTTCCTGATACTTGGAGAGTTAACAGCTCCAGATCTCAGGACATGAGGGCTCTGATCAGATGAATAAGCAAAAGGTAATGAACCTTTCTGTGGATCAAAACCTGGAGAACTCCCAATAGCACTTCCCCTGGGAGCTGTTGGGTCAAATTGACCTGGACTAGCATATGCATGTGCGGAAGGATGCTGAAGATAAGACACATACATTGGCTCCGTATATGGATGTTGACTTGCAACCCCCATTTGTCCATAATATCCTGGAACAACATTTCCTCTGGAGGAAACATCAGAAGGCCTCGTATTGTAGTTAGAGCCAGTGGAATTTTCATAAGGAATCTGAATAGCATTATAAGAAGCATAACCCGAAAAAAATGGTGGCAGAAGCGAAGCATTCACAGTGACTCCCCAATTACCACACGGAGCTGTGAACGGGTGGAACTCCAAAGTTGATGGTTTGGAGCGGCCAAGGGCGGCATAGGGTGGTAACGTCTAAGTGCTCCAAAAGGCAGCGCAAGGTAGCATAAAGAGGGGTACAATGCCAGCTGACTGCAACACAGGCTGCACTTCCATAGAAGATAACTTGGAATGACTATGAAGATAATGATCCCCATAATTGGGGCTGTGAATTTGTTGACTAGTCATCTGAGACTGACCAAGAATGGAACAGGGGAAGCGACGGCTGCGAGAGGCGTGCCACTTCGCCGTGCAAGCATCCTTTGTCGTGATGGGTTTTGTCGTATGGCCTGACTTCTATGAGCATTCATTGATAATTTTTTGTCAGAGCTAGACTTCCTGTCTGAATTGTATATCGGATTCGCGTGTATTGCTGCTATTCCAAAGGGTACTTGTCACAGACTTCAACAGCAAAAACAAGGAAGGTGGTAATAGCTGCTCATTCTTGCCCCAGTAGTTCCTGTTTTCCTTATTTTAACTCTCCCAAGTGGCATTGGCTTGCACTGGTGATCGGGATGGCCAGGGCTCGGTTCTGCCTAAGAGCCTCGCTCTTGAGCCTTTTAGCAAGGCAGCTCTGCATGATTAATTAAAATCTCAAGACAAAGGTCAATGTCTCTTCAGCTGTAGAGAAGTGGCGCGGTAGCGTACAATATTTATAGCATTTTCATGTGTAGAACAATCTTCTCGCTAAATACGTAAAGAAGCATCCAGGCAGCGTTCAGAGGTTGTATCATGCATTTTCCAGTTTCGCTGTGATGGGTAGCTTTGCGAAAGTTGATCAGATCATAACCATATTTACTCATAGATTCAAGGACGAGTTTGACAGAGGCATCAGCATACATTGTCTGGTTTGTTCTGATAGACTCAAGAAGGGCTGACTATTGTATAACAGGAGTCCTGGAAAATCTTCCTTGAAAAATAGAAAAGCAATTGCAATACCAAAACAGCAATGCCTCAACCATTACTTAGAATACATTAATCAACGAGCAATACAAACCTCAGAGTACAAGCATCAAATTTATAGCATACAAGAAAACTAAGTTATGTGAACCATAAATTCCAACCCAAAACGAGCAATAAATTTCATAATATTTTACACAGCACTACTGACATGCGGACATCAACCGTCCATGACTACCGAGGAGCTGAAGATCAAGCGGGTGTTCATTGTCCCACTTATCTTATATCTTTATTTGTAATTTTAAATTTTATTATGAAATTTCTGTTTTACCCCACTTAAGAGGTCTTCATGTAAGCCTTAGGGCATATGTCTTGTTTAGTTTCTTAGGCCTATAATAGAGCCCTTTCTATGTAATGGAGATGATTGAATTGATTAATGAAAATTTGTTTTTTTGCGTTCTCTTGGAGATTCCATTCTTTTAGATCTGCTTAGGTTGAGTTCTTTTTCTTTTGAGATTCTTAGTGAGTTCCTAACTTTGTGTCTATTGTGAGTGCATCCCTCTCCCAAATCATCTTAGGAGTTTTGGGAAGAGCTAGATCTCTGTGTGGAGTTCTAGACCTTCCTCCAATTTTTCTTTGCAATCAATTAGTGTGAGAATCAAGGAGAACCGTCTGGACGCATTCTTCCTTGAACTCCATCCTTTTCACCCAATTCCGTTGAACCCAGCACTCTCCGCCGCCCCTCCTCCAGCCCGCTTCAGGCCGCCGACCCTCCAGGCCATGCCTCCCGCCGGCCATCCACCTTCCACACCGTGCCGCCCCTTTCCTCCCTCCCTCTAGCTGTCGGCTTCCCTCTCCTTGAATTCAAAATTGAAATTCAATGTTTATGGGCATTAATTGTTTTCCTAAAGTAGCTCCTTAATTTACGCCATTTCAATTTAATTTGATTTTAATTTCAAATTTGAATTCAAATTGTTAAATTGATTGCCCATTCCTAAATGTAAAAATCTGAAATTTAAATTGGTGGTCCCCACTTATTTCAAAACTCACCCCTTCTCCTCCTTATGTGGCCGGCCCCCTTATTGGGCATAATCTCTCTCCTATCTCATTAATAGGCCCTCATTAAGCCTCCATAATTACCTCCCACAATTCACTCTCATCCAATTTAATTCTCCCCATTAAATTTGAGTTTAAATTCAAATTCATCCCGCCAATTTCACTTAATCTGAAATTTAATTTCAAATTTCCATTCTCTCTCCCCAAATTGATTTGGGATTTAATTAATCTTGCCACCTAGGCAAGTAAATGGCATTTACGTTTCACATCAACTACAGTGGCATAGATTTTGAAAATATGGTAGAATTCAAGTTTTAAGAGAAACTTAAGATAACTCGCAGTTCGATCAACCCACACACATAACTTATTGAAAGCACGATATTTTAAACGAGCTTCCTAAATTTGAATGCAATGAAGCTGCCACAGAGCAACTCATTAAATCAGCAAATAGTATGAAGTTATTACACAAATGAGCAAATAGAACACGCCAAGTTACAATAACAATATAAAACTCATACTGATGTGAATGTAAATGCAAACTTCTTAAATTTATCCCGACCTAAAATTGCAATCATGATTTCTATAAACAGTTTATTGGGGTTCCTTATGTTCAAGAACCATAAAACTGGGTTTGCTCATCTAGGTGCCATTTCAACTATTAGTCACTGTGGCTAGCTATGAACTGCAAATAGAGAACAGATCGTGTTAAAGTTTAACAAATTGCTGCTAAAAGAAATGTTGATGGATGCTTAATAATCTCTTAATTAGTTAGACTTTTATGCTCCACCTCAAAAGGCTGAATGGATACTCCAGAATTAAGTCTCTATGTTTTCATGGAAGAAAAGAGAATATAAAGCAGATAATTATGCTTTCAGATGAGTGAGGTGGTTTTATTCATATTGGATTCATGGGGATTTATTGAGGAAAGTAAAGTTCATGACAAAAGAATAAAGGTGAAAAGAAACGAATTTCAAATTCAAGCTACAACTACCAATATAAAACTCTACTGCTTTGAAGGTAAATGCAAGCTTCTTGAGCTTATTCTAACCTAAAATTGCAATCATGATTTCTATAAACTGTACAATGGCATTCCTGATGTTGAAAAACTTTAAAACTGGGTTTCATCATCTAGGTGTCTTTCTATTATTAGCCACAGTGGCTAGATATGAACTGCAAATAGATGAAGAGTTGGAGTTAACATATAAAAAAAATGTAGCTAAAAGAAAAGTTGATGGATGCTTAATCATCTCTTAATTAGTTAGGCTTTTATGCTCCACCTCAAAAACCTGAAGGGATACTCCAGAATTAAGTCTCTAGGTTTTCATGGATGAATATAAAGTAGATAGTTATGCCTTCAAAATGAATGAGATAAGTGAATTCATATTGGATTCTTAGAGATTTTTAGAGGAAGGTAAGGGTGAAAACAAGTTTCCAATTCAATCTTGGCAGAAGAAGTGGAAGGTACCAACAAAGGTTACTAGGAGGGATAACTACGATTAACAGCTATAATTGCAACAAGGTAGAAGATGAAGAAGACCATCAGAAACGGCTAAGACATTATTAAAAAAAATACAAGGAGTACCATGATTAAGAATTTAAGAGTTACTTCAAGGAAGAAAGCTAAAGATAAGCTACGCTGCATAGCGGCTAACACCTCATACAACTATTATGGAATGGCTTCACAAAACATTTTAACAACCAAATTTCTAATTAGTAATAAGCATGGTTATGTTAACCCCGACATCTAAATTAGGATGCAATCATCATGATAGAAGCAATGACTTGAAACTGGAGACTAGAAAGTGACCTAAGGAAGGGCTCAAGCTTAAGCAAAGTGAAGACATTTTGTTTTGAGTTTTTTATTCTTTATGTAATTGATAACTAATCCAAGTCCATGTATAAGCTTACTCAAGTTAAAAAAATAAGAAATTAATTATAAATACTCAAATTTATTTTGAAACATACTTATCAACTATTATTTTGAGCATATCTTAGATAAATAGGCTATTGGTAAAAATTATTATCTCTAATCAATCATACATATGATCAAAAGATCAAAAATATGATTTGATGATCACAAATAAGATGCTCAATTGTATTTACAGTTCTAAACTTAACATTCATTAGAAATTAGTCGTTCTATCACCATTTTAAGTAAATATTTCTATCATGATTACAATATGTTAAACAAATAATATATTTATATTTCTATTTTTAGTAATATTGCTACATATAATAAAACAAAACGTTATCATTTCAAAATAAGTTATTAATTGTAAATGATATAATTAAGAAAATATCTATTTAAATTTTAATGGGTAACAAATAGAATGATAAGGTGAAAAACATAAATTATATTTTAAAGCTTTATGCAAGTACCTCTATTATTCAAACAAATGTAGTTCAGTTAAAAAGAGTCCGTTGAATGTTAAGAGGCATAGTTTTGTTAGATTTTAAGAGACACGAAGAGCCGCCTCCCCCCCCCCCCCAAAAAAAAAAAAAAAAAAAAAAAAAAAAAAAAAATTCCTCTCAAATTTGAATTTCAATTAAAAAAACCTTCCTATTGATCCCTTCCCAAATAGCCACCTTTTCCTAATATATTTTCCTCTCCAATTTGAATTTCAATTAGGAAATCCTTCTTAATTAATCGCTTCCTTAATTCCTCCTCACATATGAAATGATAGGTTTAATGAGCCCCACAAGGGGGGCAGAATCCCTTGCCCTTTCCACCACCTGTTGGTCCAACTCTTGTTGGACCGGCCTGTTTCCCTCTCCCGTATCAATACTCCCCTCCCCAAAATGCACCTTGTCCTCAAGGTGGAAGGTAGGGAACTATCCCTTGATTGTCTCGTATAGCTCCCATGTGGCATCATGCTCTAGCAAATCTTTTTATCTAAATTGTTTCTCTTTGGCAATTTTGAGACCCTAAACTTAGTTCATCTCTTCCTTTCTCATAAAATCAATAAAATATTTGTGTGGAATAAATAAAAAAAGTGTAGTTTTAAAATTTAGCACCAACTTATATGAACCAATACATTTCACTTCATTCAACTAATTGGAAAAGGATATATTCATTTTATTAACATTAAAAAAATTTCAAATTGCATCAAACAAGTTTTCAACAAAGCTTAAGATTTTATACTTCGCAGTAAAAAAAGATTAAGTTCAAAAGTTTCAAGAACTAAGTATTTGAGGTTGAACAGGCCCAACAAGCAGTAACTTAGTGGACTACATCTTTTAAGTTCTAACGTTGATGAAGTAAAATAAGGAAATCCAGATAAACAGCAAGTAGATTACTCTGAAAAAGCAACAATAAAAAGATTATACAAACAATCAACGTAGCACAAGAATTAATCAGTCTGATACAAACTTAATGGCAGAAATAAGCCAATTACCTGAATCAGATCCTCAATACTTTTATAACAACCCAACAAAGGAGATGCTGACTGTCCAGACACAGAGCCAGATGTACTTTGTGCAATATCATGACTAAATTCTGATCTGGGTGACCTATCATCCTCATATTCCTCCTTATGAGTGGGAAGCATGCGTTGTGATGCCAGCAAATATCTTTTGTTGCCATCATCCAAAGAAGGAAGTCTCCAATTTTCACCAATGCAGTGTGCCAAGCGATGGTTTTCTTGTGAAATGAGAGGAGGAGGTATCCTTGGGTTTAAATTTACATTGGAGTGATAATAAGCTGCATAAGCTGGATCTGCACGAAGCTGTTCTTCAGACTGACGTTTATCAAACCCAATGTTCAAATTTTCAAGGATGGCATCCAATTCAGAATTCTGCTGGACTCCCAATTCATGAATTGCTACACTAGAACCTTCAATGCTAGGAGGGGCACTGCCACTTCGACTAGGGGCAGTAAATTTTTGGTTTCCATAAAACGAGGCAGTATCCATGCTAACAGGCCAATTTCTAACAACATTGCTTCCAATTAGTCTCACGGGAATCTCTGTTGCCATTATGCTCCGATGAACGCTTTATTAACACCTCATGTAAATTACCACACCGCCAGGAAATCCCTCAATTCCTGAAATTTAGCACAAACATATCAAACTTTCCTCAATTTCCCATAATGTATACAATTCCAATTCAGTGTTAATTATCAACTCCTCAGTTGATATCACCAGCACTAAGTAGTTACAAGTCTCAAATGGGAATGAAAAAGGTGGAAGAAATTAGAACTAGTGGCAAGGTCGAAATGCGAGATGCAAAAGAATAAATTAACTCACTAAAATAATTCAAGAAAGATCATAGAACACAACAGAGACCTTGATGTAAAACTCGAAAGCATACACCAGGACCTCCCTCGTAGCCCTTTCATATCAAGGCTAATAGTTTAATGACAGGATAAAAATTAAATATCAGAAATATTATACCTGACTTCAGCCGAAGGGAACACTAAATTTTCTTGAATGCATGCAGAACCAGCAAATCCGCAGCCGGCACTAAGAGAGAATAAATTCAACTGCATTATTTCCAGAGTTCCATCCAGCTCGAATAAATTTATCATCCTGCATATATTCCCATATAATACCACAGTAACTCTTGGCATTAAACAAGAAACATTGCAATTTGGAAGGTTAAAGAGCAATCGATCATACTTAATGAACCGTCTCAAAAGAGAAGGACAAATTAAACTCTAAAGAAAGCAACAACATTGATTGGTCAGCAAAGAATAACCAAAAAGGCATGGTTATCATCCTCTCAATAAACTACAAATAAACAAAGTGCTTTTATGAATCCAATCTAAGGTTTTCCCACAACCAAGGACTGTAGAACAAAATCTAAATAAAATAGGTTGTGGAGGCCTATCCAAAAACATTGGAAAAATAAGGGGGGTTAAAGTTGACTAAAACGGTAACGAGGTAAAATTGCCCGACGAATATCTGTTAATCAGAAAAAATGCAGTCCGTTGATTGACATTAATTTTAGCCGAAATTAACAAGGCCAAACTTAGCAAATTACTGCAGAACAACAAGACAAAACAAACATGAACACTTGCATCCTATGCTTAAAAAACAGTCGAGAACTTCGGAATGGAAAAAGAAGAATATCATCAATTTGCAAACATGTCGTAAATTAATAGCCTCATGCTCCCTGCGCTGTAACATCACCATTTCTCAACAACGAATTACACTCTAATCCACCCAGTAAAAAACCCAAATATACAACAATTAGCACCTTATCTCAAAAAAGCCGTACCAAATAGCGTCACGGACAGTACAACAGAAGCCGAATTCGCTCCATCAAATAACTGATCGACACCGACACACCAATTCCCCGACACTCCAAACCTCAAGAACCCAAAGCCAATCCCAAAACCTAGTCCGCATCATCGAATCCAACAAGAACAAGTCAAGTAAGCATAGTAAAACACAAACAGAGAAAATAAATTCTAACCCAGTTCCATGCCACGAAGCAAAACCCTAGCTCCTCAATCCCGTGCACAAACCCACAACCAGCTTGGTCGTTTTTTTCAAGATAAACTTTAAAGAGAGAGAAAAGCGAGAGGTTGGAGGAGGAAGTCGTCTCTCTCTCGAGGTTTCTTCCCCTCGATACCTGAAATATCTCTTCTAAACCCTTAATAGCCCTGCTTTGTCATTTAATTACTGTAATTTTGTTCTGCGCGTGAGATGATCGAAATGACGTAAATGCCCCTTTCCTGTCTTCCTCGTTAGTCAAACGTGAGTGATCGTTAATTTCGTTAAAGCTCTAACTAAGCCGAATTCGAGCGAGTTTACATTCTACTTGTCAATGATATATTATCATATGCTGCTAAGAAAAGTGCTTGCAACTACTTTTGTGCTAAATTGGACATCAAAAAGGCATTTGACTCGGTTAGCCGGGAATTCTTGCTTAGCAGGTTGCATCAAAAAGGTTTTCCTCCCCTTTTCGTTAATTGGATTAAAGTTTGTATAACTGATGTCAATTTTTCTATTCTGCTAAATAGAGCCCTAGAAGGTTATTTCTCATCTACTGCAGGTCTTAGACAGGGGTGCCCTTTAAGCCCTTGCCTTTTCTGTATTGTGATGGATGTCTTCTCTAATCTTTTGGAGTGTAGGGGTTTTAGAGGCATTTCTTTTGACAATCAATCCTTGTCTCATTTGCTATATGCAGATGACGTTTTAATCTTCGGGGAGGCCACTGTGGAGAATTGCAACAAGCTGAAAAAAATTTTGAGGGAATTTGCTGATAACACGGGTCTTAATGTGAACTACGTTAAATGTGCTATCATGTTCCCCAAAAATCAAAGGCACACGCAGGATATCTGCTAAATTCTATCAATTCACAATGTGGTAAATAAAATCATGTATCTTGGTATTCCCTTATCATTTTATAAGCTAAAGATAGAAGACTATTTGTCTATAATGGATAGTGTTAACAAAAAAATGAACGGCTGGAAAGCCAACTTGCTGTCTTTTGCGGGTCGACTCCAATATCTTAAATTCACTATCCAAAACACGATTGCGTATTGGATTAGAGGTTCCATTTTACCAAAAACTGTTCATAAGTTTATCAAAAGAGCTAGTTCTAGATTCTTGTTTTTTGGGGATTCCTTGAATGCTAAAAACTTCATATGGTGTCTTGGGATAAGATTTGCAGACCAAAAAATAAAGGTGGTTTGGGGATTCCTTCTATATATGCTCTTCAATTTGCTTACAATTGTTCTGTGATTTTAAGGATGTATAATGTTGCGTCTCCTCTTTCCAAATGGCTCCTCTGTATTTATAAGACCCCGTGGAAGCCGCCCCCTGTTTTTGCTTCAAATCTCTGGAAAACTATATGCAAGACTGCTATGGAGGTAAAACATTGCTTTAATTTTATCATATCACAGAATGCTCCTATTTCTTTGAAATGGGATCACTGGTGCTACAATCACACAATTGCGGAGTACCTGGGGGGTGAGTATACGGGCTACTGTCCCGACTATACCATTAAAAGCTTAATTTCTGGCTCTCAGTGGGTTTTTCCTGACAATATTTCTCCTAATCTGAAAACACTGCTTGCTGGTTTCAATATTGTGGAAGGTGAGATTTGTCTTAAATGGAAAAACAGCAGTACATATAAATTCAAAAACTACATTGAGGAGTTTTACTCTGATTTACAAACCTGTACATGACACAAATCGGTATGGGCAAACAAAAATATTATAAAGCATTATGTTTATGTATGGATGTCTTTGGTGGGAGGACTCAAGACTGCGGATGCTCTTATTTCTCGCAACATTTTGGTTCCAGCCATTTGCAGTCTATGTCATGATTTAAATGAAACGGTCTCTCACATTTTTTTCGAATGTGATTATGCTTTTTACGTCCTCACAGAGATTATACCTGGAATGAAAACTTTTCTTTTTAGGCCCACCATTTTGCAGGGTTTTGAATGGATTAAGGGTAATTACAAGGGGAATAAGAAAGTTAAAAACTTCTATTTTATTCTCATATGCTGCATTATCTACCACATATGGAAGGAGAGGAATGGTATGAGATTTGGGCACATCTTTAATTGTCATAATTCCATGATTCTTAATGTTAAGAGGAATATTTCAGAGAGAATAGCAAAATGGAAAAACTCTATGGATTATTTGGAACTTCTGTAATATGGATTGCGGCTATCATGTTGGCTATGCCCTTTTCTCATCCAGTCGCTGCGAGCATTTTTTGAAGTCTTACCTGGACAATGATGAAGCTCCCACTCTGGATCCTTTGGATGGTCTACGGGCAACCAGGGATTTCAGGATTTTAATGTGCCGCAATATGTATAATATGAGTCCAGGTTTTCACAGGCTTGGGAGCTCTCTTTTTTGGCGGAATTCCTTCTGCAGGCTTAATTTTGGTATACATGTTATCTGGTATACTTGTATTGGGGTTCAAATTTTGTTTTTTATATTTCTGCAGCTAAGGCTGATAGGGTGATCAAATGTAATAGGTTTTTCCTTTTGGTTTGGTGCTGGTTTTGCTTATGCAGTTTTGTTCTTCTAGATTGCTACTGGTTAGTTGTGGTAGCAATCTATTTTTTCCTATGTATTATTTCTTTTCATGAATGAAATGGGCTAAGGCCCCAATTTTCCCAAAAAAAAAAATATTGTTCTCAAATACTACTATCACAACAATAGCAACAAATATGCAGCTTATCTTAGTATATTGGCTGAAAGCTTTGATCAACAAAAAAAAAATTAATATATGAATTTAATTTTAATTGGTTCAAAAAAATTCAATAACAATAAACTTTTATTCTATTAAGTGAAGTCGGAAGCATTACCTCACAAATATAAAATATATTTTTATTTATATAAAAATATAAATATTCATATTGTACATATTATTGTTTTGGCTTGATAAAGCGTACCAATTTATTAAATCCATTAATATATCAATTTACGAGAGAAAAATAGACCAGCATAGGAGAGCCACCAAATGATCAAATTTCTTGTCACGGTGGCAGTCTCCAATTCTATCAATTCATTTTTTCCTCATAATTTATGGGAGAAAATTTGGACAGCATAAGAGACTGTGCCTTTTCCCACCCATAAAGAGGAATTTTTATTCGGTTCAGACATTGGACGTAGTTCTATGTCCGGAGTTCAAAAAAATCGTGACACTTGGCCTATATAGGTGGATATTAATTTCTGTTTCATTTGTTGTTTTGTTATTGCCAGCCCGACCGACCCGGCCCAAAATATTCCTGTTCAAATTTAAGGTTTCGAATGGTCACACTTTTTTAAATGAAATACTGTGAAACTTTCTTAATTTTTAAGATTTCAGCTCACAATTCATTTTCATAGCTATTGAGAAATAAGAAACGAGGAAAAGTCAATGAAGATGACGACTAGTTTAGAGGATGAAGAGTCGGTTTGGAACAAAAAATTTAAATAAGAAATAGAAAAGAATATCCACATGTACAATGCAGGTGTCGCGATTTTATTGGACTCCGGACACAAAGCTGCGTCCGGACTCCGCACCGAATTGGAGCAAGTTTGGAATTTTTCCCCTTATTTTTTTGTGGATTTCTTCTTTTTTATTTTCGAATCTGCATTTGCATTTGAGATACCATATCTGCAACCTAAAAGGCAGCAAATTCTCCTTCTCAGAGAGGTGGTTCTCAAGGAAAAAAAACACTAATAATAAATATTAACAGTGACAATTTTACCTAATAAGGTTTCATTTGAGATACTTTTCTATTTTTCTCACTGTTTTGCTTTCTGAATCGCTACCATAATTTGCATTTGGCTACAACTTTTTCATTTAAAAAAAATTTACTAGAAAGCTGCTTTTTATAGCCGCTTTCAAAAAAATTATTTTCTTCACAATCAGATTTATAAAAAAATTATAGTGGTCCCAAATAGACCCTAAAAATCTGAGTACAATTTTCTAATTTAAATAACTATTCCATTTAGAGTTAAATTCTTAATTTTCATTTTAAGTTTAGAGCTATCAGTCTATTAAAGAAAGTAGGAAAAAAATTAAATCTCTCCTGATAAAACAATATGATGATTATCAATTTTTTATTAAGAGATAATCTTTCAATTATATATATATATATATAAAAAATTATAGTGGTCCCAAATAGACCCTAAAAATCTGAGTACAATTTTCTAATTTAAATAACTATTCCATTTAGAGTTAAATTCTTAATTTTCATTTTAAGTTTAGAGCTATCAGTCTATTAAAGAAAGTAGGAAAAAAATTAAATCTCTCCTGATAAAACAATATGATGATTATCAATTTTTTATTAAGAGATAATCTTTCAATTATATATATATATATATATATATATATATA